GACAGTAGTCAAGTGACTTGGTCAACACCACACAGCTAGTAAACGAGGCAGGATTTGAACCCAAATCTTCCTGACTCCAGGCCCAGCATTCTATCTACTGTGCTATCTAGCTGCCTTGGAGGGGAGGGAGAGAGACAGAGATAGATTTATTGGGAAATCCTGATGAAGAAATTGTAAATCTTCATTGTGCTCTTCCATTTAAGAGTTGTCGTGGTCATTGAGGGGTTAGTTTGTTGATTTGTCCTGGGTCACAAAGCCAGCTGTGCCAGAAGTGGAACTTCAACTCAGGCCTTCCTGACTCTGAGACCAGCTCTCTGTCCATTATTAAAGATGGTCTCACCCATTAATTAGAAGACCAGAAGAGAAAATATCCATTAGTGCTTTAACAGTTAAAAATTTATATAGGATCTTAATCAACAAAGTTTCCAGGGGGAGAGCATGCAAAGAAAATCTATGCAAATAACGATCGAGATAGAGGTTGTTTGTGGGGAATATTGTTCTCAAATTTTCCCAGCAGCTTGGTCACCAGTTTAAACAATGAAGAATATGTTGTCCATACACAGAAATACCAGGAAACTGTGCTTCGGGGCAGTGAGAAAGAAAGGCTCCCTCAATTTTGGGGAAGGAAAAAATACTTAAGTGGCAGAGTTTACTTGGTGCAGTTAAGGATTAAACCCATCAATTTTAACGTGACATTGCTGTTACATCTGAAATAAACTTAAATGACGTTTAAAAAAAAAAAAAGACTTTCTCAGGGATGTAAATAGAGTGACTTAAATTGACTTAAAATGAATCCCTGTGTGATGCAGCAGCATACTTATGGCTGAAGGAGAGAAAAAAGGCTTTCCATGAGATTAGGGTTTGGTTTTGAAGGAGGTCTGCTTTATATAAAGGAAGGGCCGAGGCTGGGCATCCTTGAAGTGATGGGTCAAGTAGGCCTTGGGTGGGGAGGGGCATGAGAAGTGGAGATCGGTGAGGGCAGGAGCTGTAGTTTTTACCAGAGCCCTTGGGGCTCTCCCTGGATTCTTCCTCTCTCCTGGGCTCTGCCAGTTGGCAGAACCCTTGATACAGCACCCCACCCCTTTATCTTTCCCTGAGGGAGAAGGAAGCTCATTTAGTACCTCCTAAGGGAGGCAAGAGAAGGGAAACAAAACCTTGAAAGAGAATGGGAAGATTTAGCTTCTAGTCCCAGTGCTGGGCCTGAGCTTGGTGATTTTGGTCAAGCCAATCCATCTCTGTGGGCCTCTCTTAACTTAAGCATCTGTAAAATAGGTGGATTGGGCCTGAGTAATTTCTAAGGTCCCTTTTAGACTTTTTCAAAGTGTGTTTAGGTTTAGGCAACCACAAAGTGTCTTGGCTCTTTTGACGTTTATCTAGTGGCTTCCCACATACTCTGTAAACCTGTTCATGTTTCTCTTCTCTCCTTTTCTCTGTCTCTGCCTCTATCTCTCCCCCTCTCAAGCCTCTCTTTCCTCCTCTTGGTCTCTCTGCCTCTCTCCTCTCTCTAATTCTCCCCTTCTGGGTCTCTCTCCTTTTCTGTCTGTCTGTGTCTCTACGTCTCCCTCCCTCTCTGTCTAAATGACAGCTCTCTGAGTCTCATGCTGTCTCTATTTCTCTGTTTCTCTCTGCATATCTATTGCTGTCTCTATTTTCTCTCTTCCTCTCTGTCTCTCTCTTGTTCCTTCCTCCCTCTCTCCCTATATCATTCTCTCCTTTTCTCCCCCTCCTTCCCCTCCCTCTTTCTCTCCCTCTCTCTTCCTCTTCTATCTTAATTTGTAATAGAAAGTAAGGAGACTTGAGGCCTGTCTCCACCTCTGTCACAAACTCCATTTGTGACCTTCTTCAAATTACTTCCCATTTCCTCATTGGTCCAAAGGAGAGATTGAGCCAAATCTTTTGTATTGTTTCTTCCTCCTCTGTGTTTCCCTCAGAGAAAGACCATCACTTTTTCTGTCCCACCTTCCTCTTTCCCTTCTGTCTTACTCTCTCGCTCCCTCCTTTCCTTCACCCTTTCCATCCTCTTCTCCTCTTTCCCCCATCTACCTCTCTTCTTTTCTCTATTTTGCTTTTCTCTCTTTTTCTTACTTTCCTGCCAAGGCTAACCCGTACCCACTGTAAATGCTGCTTCTCTTGCTGGTAATGCTCCGAGCTGTTGGCTCTTGGCCAGTTTAGAGCTCTTTCCTTCTCACTTAAGGTCAGTGCTTGAAAAGTGAGCTTTTTGAAGCCTAAGCATTCCAGAAATTCGGCTCATCCTTTCTACTTCTTCCCTTTCCTCCTGGGGAGCCTCACTCCATCCCTGCTCTAAGGACTCTGAGGCTGAGGTGAGGGGCATTTTATGAAACATTCATTGCTAGCCAGGTTGCAGAATAGACTGTTTAGGCCAGGCCGCCATGGGAGCTGGGGTTCTGGAAGGCCAGAACAGAACTGACTCGGATGTTTGATGGCCTAAATAAATATAGATTCAGGCGATCTGAATTGCATGTGTGTGTTCATGTGGTTAATTCAGTCATCAACTATCTACTAATGCCTTGTTATAAATTAATATCCATTAATCAAATGTCCTGTGTGGTAGGTGTGGGGCGGGGTTAGAACTAAGTACAGGGTATCCCAAAAGTTTAAGCTTTAATAGCTTAAAACATCATGAAGACTTTTGGGACACACCCTATATATGACATTTTCCCTGCCCACAAGAGTCTAGTTGGTGGATAAGAAAACTTCTAATTTACGGTAGAATGTCAAAGTATAATGTACATTCAGAGGGAGAAATCCCATCTTTATTTTTTTGTCCAGGCAATTAGGGTTAAGTAACTTGCCCAGAGTCACACAGCTAAAATGTTAGCAGTCTAAAGCCAGATTTGAACTCAGGTCCTCCTGACTGCAGGGCCAGTGCTCTATCCACTTCACCACGTAGCTGCCCTGAGAAACCCCTTCTGATTGGGGGCCTCAAGGAAGGAATTCATAGAAAATTTGAACTATTTGATCTTTTGAAAATTTATTCCCTTTTAGAGTTTGGGCTAAATGATTTCTAAAATCCCTTTCTGCTCTGGATCCAAATCACCTCAGGAGAGGGGACATTTAAGCTGGACCTCGAAGAATGAGGATTAAATTAGAATGGGTGGAGAGGAGAATGTTCTGGGTGGGGGAAGAGCATGACCAAAAATCAGAAAGGTATGAAAGTGTGGGGTGTGTTTGGGATATGGCGCAGTTGAGTTGGAGTTCAGATTACAAGCAAGGGATAGTAAGTGAGAAGTTTGGGACCGAATCATGAAGCACTTTGAATGTTGAAAGAGTTCAGACTTGATTTATGCAGGTAATAGAAAGCCATTGACGGCTTTGGGCCATATACTGGGAGATGGTATGCTCCTCTGATCAAAGGACCAGGGTTTTTGGAAGAACAGCTTGGTCCAGGTGTTTCCCGGCATAGGTCCTGTGATTTCAATGGCTTGGTGAATTCTCTTGGCCAGTTCAGGTTGGCATCTTCTCTGTGACTTAGAGAATGAACTCACATTGGATAGAGTCATAGCAGCCAGCATATGCCCCAGGCAGGACTTGAACTTTATCTCTAGCCACTGTGTCACCTGTATCACAATGCCTATTGATGAATGCTTGTTGATGACTAATATGGAAAATATGTTTTGCATGATTGCACGTGTATAATAATCTACATTAGACTGCTTACTGTCTTGGGGCGGGTGGGGGGGGAAGGGAGGGAGAGAATTTGGAACTCAAAATTTATAAAAATGAATGTTATAAATTGTTTTTATTCGATTGGGGGAAATATTAAAAAATAAATGGTTGTTGAAAGAGGAAGCTCTTATTATAATAATAGCTAGCATTCATATAGCAATTTAAGCTTTTTTAAATTAAATTTATTTATCTATTTTTAGTTTTCAGCATTTGCTTTTATAAAATTTTGAGTCCTAAATTCCCCCCCTTCCCCAATATGACATGCAATCTGATATAGTCTATACATGTATGATTATATTAAACATTTCCACACTAGTCATGTTGTGAAAGAAGAATCAGAACAAAAGAGAAAAACAATCAGAAAGAAAAAAACAAAAAAAAAGAGAAAATAGTATGCTTTGATCTGCATTCAGACTCCATAGTTCTTTCTCTGGATGTGGATAGCATTTTCCATTGTGAGTCTTTTGGAGTTGTCTTAGATCAAGCAATTTAAGTTTTACAAAGCACTTTACAAATATTATGTCATTTTATCCCCACAACAACCCTGGGAGGTAGGTGCTATTATCATCTGCTTTTTTATAGATGAGGAAACTGAGGGAGACAGGTTGAATGACTTGCCCAAGGTCACATAGCTAGTCCGAGGCAGGATTAGAACTCAGATCTTCCTAACTCCAGGTTTAGTGCTCTATCCTTTGCACCACTTAGTTGCCTCAGAAGGTCAGTCAACACTAAGAGGGTGGCAGTAGAAGAGAAAGAAAAGGAAAGGTTTGGTTGTCAAAACAGGCCAGAAGGACTTTATGTGCAGGGTGTTGAAGAAAGAGTCAAAGATGATGCTGAAGTTTTGGCTCTGGGAGACCGGCAGGATGGGAGGGCCATCAATAGAAGTTGGGAAGTCAGGAAGAGGAGAAAGTTTTTCTGGGGAGAGGATACATGGGGTTGCAGTCATGTTGTGTTTGAGGTGCCCAAGGGCTATCCAAGTGGAGATGTCTAACTAACAAATCCAAACGTACATCGGGAGCTGTAAAGAGACATTCTGGCTAGAGATACATGGTGGTGTGTGTCAGTTTTATTTGTATGTTTACACACCGATGTTGGTACATGCCAGTACATACATACATGTGAGCGTGCCCATGACTGTGTACGTATGTGTCCCGTGGAAAGTATGGGAACTGTTTTTGGGGCAGGAGATGGTTAGATCCCATTATTTTTTTTTCTCCTTTATTCCAGTACAATGTTTCTGAGTGGAGAGGGAGGTGGAAGGGTGGAAATTGGCACTATCTTCGACTCATCTTTGGCCTTCTCTTTGCTTCCAGATATGCTTCAGCTGATCAACAACCAGGACAGTGACTTCCCTAGTCTCTTTGACTCTAGCTATGGTGGGGCTGTACCCACATTCCAGGATGTTGGCTCTTCTGGGGGCCTGTCCCCACCCCCCAGCTCTCTCAGCTCCACCCTCGACAGCTTCTTGGGGAGCACCAAGGTGCCCACCCACGTAAAGATGTACCAGTCACCACCTCCTCCCCCTCCTGCAATGACCAGCTTCCAGCCCCCGCAGCTGATAGCAGGACCTGACCTGAGCCAGGCCTCACCAGGCATCAAGGAGGAGCCCATGCAGCTTTCCATCCTGCAGCCTTCTCCCCCTCAGCTCCTTTCCCAGCCTGTGCTGCCAGCCCCACTGGTACCACCACCACCTCCCCCATCCCAAGCCCAGCTGCAGTCTCAGCTGCCGTCTCAGCCCCAGCCCCAGCCCCAGCCCCAGCCCCAGCCCCAGCCCCAGCCTCAGTCTCTGCCTCAGTCTCAACTGCAGCCACAGCAGGCACCACAGCTGCCTCAACCACAACCACAACCACAGCCACAGCCACAGCCACATCCACAGGAGTTACAGCCACCAGGGGTCATGGTGCCCCAGAGTTTTGCTCCTCCTTCCCAGCCCCAGTTTACCTCTCCATCTCTACTGGACTACCAAGGCCAGGGCAGTTTTCCAGCAGGTGAGTAGTGGCCTGGGAGGGTTTGGGGGTGGTGGTGGTGGTGTGGATCAAAGGATGGTGTGTGGTCGGTTTACCTTGCAGTGGAAGTAAAGGACCTCAGGAGTGAATATAGGGGCATTCTCGATTATGGGAATTTATTGGGGGAGGGGGGGTTGGTTGATGGAGTGACTAGGAGAAAGGGAGGTCTGTTGGAAAGGAGGCAGCCCTAACACATAGGCAAAACAGTAAGTGATCACACTTAGCTGCCCAGCGTACTGGTATGAGTTACTCCTGGGAAGACTCCCCCTTCAGAAATATCTCCCTCACCAGTGTCTACAGTTTCACCATTAGCTCTTCATTCCTTCAGACTAAGCACTGACCTTTCCTGCTCTTCCAGATTATAAATGCAGCCTGGGGGAGGGATACTGCCTCAGTGAGAATGAAGTCATTAGGTCCTCTTCTCCCGGGGAGAGGTCCTTGAAAAGAGGGGGGTGATATAGAAACAAGGGGGTGGGGGAGGTATGGGGAGGGCACAGGTAAGTGAGTTACAGTCCTAATGCCTGTGATGTTCACAGTTTCCTTTGTCTCCCTTTTTCAGCTGTTCCTCCTGGTAATGTCCAGCAGCCCCTGTCCAACCAGCCCCTGTCTCCTCAAGGGTCATTGCCAGTGACCATCCAAGCCCAGGTTCAGAATATCTGCCCACAGCAGTTGCTGACAGCACCTGCCCAAGTTGTCTCCTCCCAGATCCAGCAGGTCCCAGTAAGTTCAGCCCTTTGACTGGGAAGAAGCTGGCCTTATTTCTGCCCTTGGGGGAAAGACATTTCCTTGAAATGGGAGCTGGGATCCAGGGAGATCAGAACCAAAGATAAACCAGCCAGGCCTGAAGCAGCACTTGGGAACAATTATTTGAGGAATGAGAAAGGGTTGCTGTGGTCCTATGCCAGGAAAACTGGGAGAAACTGACTCTTCTGCTCTTCCAAACTGCTTTGGTCATCTACCTCCTCCTCTTCTGCTGTGAAGCGGCCCCCATCCTTTCCTTTGCCCCTCCCTCTCAACCCTGGCTCTCCCCACCCCTCAATAAATCTGAGAGTGAGAGGCAGCTAGGTGGCGCAGTCGATAGAGCACCGGCCCTGGAGTCAGGAGGACCTGAATTCAAATCCGGCCTCAGACACATAACACTTACTTAGCTGTGTGACCCTGGGCAAGTCACTTAACCCCATTGCCTAGCTCTCCACCCCCCCCCCAAAAAAAAAGAAAAGAAAAAAAAATCTGAAACTGAGAAAGGGTTTAAATGATCATTTTCTTGTGGCTGCTATTTAGAATTAGCCCAGAAACTCTCTAAAGGTCATATAAATAGAGGCTAGTTGACATAGGCAATAAGCATGTATTAAGTACTTACTATGTACCAGGCACTGTGCTAAGGCACATAGTAGGTAGATTGCTGGATATGGAATTTGGAAGACCAGGTGGTTCATATTTTGCCTCAGATGCTTATTAGCTATATGACCTTTGGCAAGTCACTTACTGTCCTTGAGCCTCAGTTTCCTTATTGGTAAAATGGGTATAATAGTGGTACCTACTTGGATTATTGAGGCTCAAATCAGATTATATAAAGAACTTTGAAAGCTTAAAGAGCTATAGAAATGTCCACTATTATTAATACATAGGTAAAGATATGAATTGCTGAATGAGGGCAGTCTCATGTATGGTCTGTCCATCTGGGAATCTTCTTACAGAAGCGCGGAGCTCACAGCTAGCCTCTTTTCTGTTATTACTTCCATTCCCTAAGTTGTCACTGGCTTCCAAAAATCCATAGACCCTTAAGGTTGTTGAGGGTGGAGCTGAGAGAGCTGGAGGGTGGGGACAGGCCCCTTAGAGACTACTTCATTCAACCAACCCCTTAATTTTACAAAGTAGGAAACTGAAATTACATTTCATTTTATTTATCTGCAAATTACTTCTTTTGAATTTCAAGGGGGAGCCTCTTTTAGTGTCTGTTATCAGCAGCAGCAGCAGCATCATCATTATTATAATATTTTTTGTTTTTACTGAGGCCATGCCTTTATTTCCCCTTCCAGCATTTTATAGACTAGTGCTAAGGCCTGTCTCATCAAGGGTCTTTCTAAACCAAGGCCATTACCCTACTAGGTGTTTGGGGAGTATTGCCTCAAGTTGGGGGTCCTTGATCCCAGCCTTGAGTTCATCTGCTTTCGATGTTTACGGTGTGTTTAGGGAAATGATAAATAGGCTCAGGATTCAGGAGTGTCCTCTGTTATGGGGCCCTTTCCTCTAAGCAGCATGCCTGTGTCGCTGTTTTATCTTCAGACTCCTGCTGGGATTTTCTTTTGATTCAGAATCTACAGTTCTCCTCCAAAGTGCCCACATCCCCAGTAGGCTGCCTTAGTCATCCGTCAGGCTAGGCAGGAAAGGTGTAAAACAACCAATGATGTCACATGTGGGGCTGATGTTGATTGACAAAGACAGGCAGCTGATGGCATTGGTGGAAAGTAGGCAAGGGATGGATGGCACCCTCCCCCTCTATTTGGTCTCTTCCCTCCCAGATCCGGCTCTGCATGAGTCACCCCTGCCCTTCTCTCCCTCTGAGTGCTCAGAATCACTCTTCACCACAGCTAAGGACTCCAAGGAGTGGGAGTCCCTCCTGCCCATCCTAATGCTGATGCTAGCTATCAGCATCTAGTGCCTAATAATTATTTCCAGGACCCCATTAATACAAACTATCTATAGATAGTCTTGTTTCAAACTGAGGAGGCCGCCATGTTTTAGTTTGACCCTATATGAAAGACTCCTCCATCCACTGTATCATTTTTTTCACTCAGTCACCTTTCTCTAGGTCCTCTCTAGTTCTTCCCTGACAGGCAGAGATCCCAGTCACTCAGCAGACATCCATTCGGCTTCCCCAGCCAGCAGAGGGAATGTTGAAGCCCAGAACCTAAGAAGTTCTTCATTCTTGTTGGGGGAGAGGACAAGGTCTTTGCCCTCAGGTGGTACAGCCTAGGATACAGGAGGGTGTTTCTTTTTGAGAGGTGAACCGCATTATTTCTCTGGCCAGTTAGGAAAGATGCCAGGAACAGATTGCTACCCTTTATCCACGTCACTCCCAGGGAGTTTCTTTTTTTTTCTTTTTGTAAAATTCTGAACTTAAACCAAACCAAAACAAAAAACAACCCCAATGATCATTTCTATGTAGATAAAAGAGGATTACACATGGTGAGTCTTTCTTTCATACCACCTTCCCTTTTTTTAATGTATATAATAAACTCCAGTGAGCTTTCTCTCCAGTAACGTTGGGCTTAGTATAGTGGTTGGCAGGGAGAGGAAGGGAATGAGCATTTATTAAGTACCTGCTGTGTGCTAGGCACTATACTAAGAGATTTACAATTATTATCTCATTTAATCCTTGAGATTAATCTTGAGAGGTAGATGCAAATATGATCCCCATTCTACAGCTGAGGAAACTGAGGGGGACCAAAGTTTAAGTGCCTTGCCCAGGGGCACACAGCTAGTAAGTGAAGTTGGATTTGAACCCAGGTCTTCTGACTCCAGGCCTAGCATTCTATTCATGGTACCACTTAGCTATTTTCTAGGTGTATGGAATACAGAATTTCTTAAGTTCTTTTCAGTGCTAACCTTGTATAAATATTCACTATGACAGAGAAGCCAGATGTGTGAAAACTGAGCAAGAGGGGCTGTTGGGGGAGAAGGTATCTCAGAGGCCCCTAGCTGAGACTTTTCCATGGATGTGTCTAATATCTTTGCCTGGCACTTACCATGAAAAAAAAAGGAACTTTTCAGGATCCATGGAGCTTGTTTAAACCCTCTTGGAGCAGAAAGTACCTACCTCAGGGAGATGGCTTTGGTTCATGGGAGTATTCTAGCTCATTCGGGTTAGATGGTTAACAGTGACGAATATTTTAAAAAATTAAATTAAAATTCTTTCAGTTAACAAAAATCTGTTTTCTCTCCCTCCACCTCCTCACCATTTAAAAGTAGAAAAACACAAACAAAATCCTTTATCTAGCAAAACGAATTCCTGTATTGACCACGTCCAAAAAATGACTCACTCTGTTCCCTGCATCCATCGCCTCTGGCAGGAGGTGGGTGGCATGTTTCATCATCAGTCCTCTGTAATTGTGATTGGCCTTTGCATTGATCAGACTTCTTAAGGCTTTCAAAGTTTGTTTTTAACAGTGTTGAACAACAAGCATTTATTAAGCACTTACGGTGTGCCAGGCACTATGGTAAAGGCTGGGGAAACAAAGAGAGGCAAAACAGATGATTTAGAAAATAGGACTGGGAAAGGAGGGGAGAAACCTCAGAATGACTGGGAGGAGATTGACGCTTCTCCCATCCCTACTGCCAAGGTCCTGCTCCAGCCTCACTTCATCAAGGCGGATTCACTGGTCCTGACAGCTGTGAAGACTGATGTGGGCACAGGAGTGAAGACCTCAGGGGTCAACACTTTGGCCACCACCACCGCAGTGCAATCTGCCCCCCTGCAGGTCCCGGTATGATGGACAGTATAGGTGGGACTCATGAGGGCAGGATGAGATGAGGCTTTGGATGGGGTGATTGAGTCAGTGGAGGGAGGCCAAGGTTGATCTGGGGTCATTTCCTCCCAAACTGTGGAATTCCCACTTATTTCTAATGCAGTGGGTATTTATATCAATATGTGTATGTGGATAGATGGGTGGATGGGTGGATAGATAGGTATTTCTAATACAATGGGTACCTATGTGAATGTGTATAGATAGATAGAAAGATGGTAGATATTTCTAATACAATGGGTACCTGTGTGAATATGTGTGTGTGTTTCTATCTATCTAAATCCTGGGTGGGAACAACCCTTAAATCTTGGGTTACCTCTCCCCACAAACCATCTGGCCTCCATGATTACCTTCTTCCCATTCCATTTGGCCTCTCTTAGTCACTTTTCTTTGAATCTTCCCTTCTTTCCACTCTTCCCCAGCTTTGAGATGCTCTATTCCTGTCCCCCTAACACACACTGCCCTGGCTTTGAGTTAATTACATGTGTCTTCCCCTGAACAGACCCTGGTGAGTGGAGGCACCATTTTAGCCACTGTGCCCTTGGTGGTAGATGCCGACAAGCTGCCCATCAATCGTCTTGCTGCTACGGGCAAGACCCCCAGCTCCCAGAGCAAAGGGGAGAAGAGAACAGCTCACAATGCTATCGAGAAGCGTTATCGATCCTCTATCAATGACAAGATTGTGGAACTCAAAGACCTGGTGGTGGGGACTGAGGCCAAGGTATGGGATAGAGAAGGGAAGGAGAGGAATAAAGCGGGGCAGAAATCAGAGAGGGACATGAAGACAGGTGGAAAGGGGGACCCTCTCAGAAATCCAGGGGAAGGTGTAAGAGAGCAGGCAATAGCCAGGAGGGAGGAAGCGTCTTAGAATAGAGCTAGAGATGACCTCCGAGGTCATTTGGTCCAATCTCCAAAGAGAAGATTAGAACAGTCGAGAGATGAGAGCTCACCTTTCCTCACTTAAGCACCCCAAAGGGTTCTTAACCTTTTTTTGTGTTCTGGACTCTTGGCAGTCTAGTGAAGTCTACAGAACCCTTCTTAGAGTAACATTTTTATGTGCATAAAGTATGTAGGAGTACAAAGGAAACGAGTTATACTGAAGTACAATTATCAAAGTATTTAAAAGAAAGGAAAAAAAAAACAAGTTTGTGGGTCCCAGGTTAGCAACCCCTGAGCTACATGTACAATGTTCATATCTTCCCTGTCACCCTCCCTTCACCTGAGGGACAGATTTGGGATTTAACATCTAGAGCAGTTCCAGGAATCCTTTAGCCCACACCGGTGGAGGATGTTGGGGAGAGGAGTGGTAAGAGTGGCCAGGCCCCAGGATGACAAGGGCCTCCATCATTCCATTCCAGCTGAACAAATCAGCCATCCTGAGGAAGGCTATTGACTATATTCGATTCCTGCAGCAGACCAATCAGAAGCTAAAGCAAGAGAACTTGACTCTCAGAATGGCCATGCAGAAGAACAGTGAGTCTTTCCTAAGGGTCCCCATGCCCAGTCTTCAGCCACTGGGACTTGGGGGCAACGTCAAGGGTGGAGGTCTCAACTGGGCAATCTGTGCTTGTCCCTTCCTTACAAATTTTGTCAGCTAAGGGAGGGGATGAAGGAGTCCTAGGCCCAAGGAGCCCAGCAGCTTTGCTATTGCTACCATCTCTAAAGGCCCATCTCCTGCCTTTGGTGCAAGTCCCATAACCAGCCTGTGAGTTGGGTAAGGGGGAGATCCCCAGATTGAGTCGTTAAGCCCTTAATATGTACCAAGCACCACGCTAAGTGCTAGGGATACCAATACAAGCAGAAAAAGAAAAAGTAGTCTCTCTGTTAAGGAACTTAACATTCTAATGGGGAAACACAACACAAAAGGAGCTGAAAAGCAAGGGTGGGGGTGGGTAGGGAAAAGACATGGTGGCAAAGTCTGGGGTCAGGATGAAAGCCAAGAGAGGAGTGATGGATGACTGTCCGGGGCCTTTCCTCAAAATGGAACTTCTAGAAGGAACTCACCAATGGAAGAAGGGGGACCATTGGGGCAGAAGGATATTTCTGGGTAAGAAGTCCGCTGAAGCATGACAGAGAATGCTTCATTTAGGGTGGCTGGTCTGGGGCTCTTCTTGTGCCCAAGTAGGAACTATGGACCCTTCCCTAACTCTGATCTATGCCTTCTCTCTCTACTCTGCACCAAATCCCAGAGTCCCTGAAAGACCTGGTGTCCTCATCATGCAGTAGTGGGGGCATGGACATACCAATGGAGATCATCAAGCCAGAGATGGTGGATGCGCTGACCCCGCCACCCTCCGATGCTGGCTCCCCCTCCCACAGCAGCCCCCTGTCCTTGGGTAGTGGTGGCAGTGGCAACAGCAGTGACTCAGAGCCCGACAGCCCCATCTTTGAAGACCCCAAGGTGCCTGATTGGGGTGGGAGAACATGGCATTGGGGGTTATCTGGGGAACTTCGTCATTGCCCAACTCCATCACCTCCCATTTGAAGTCTCTCTTCCACTATTTCACCTAAAGGTGTCAAAATAGCTGCTTGGTCTCTGATGGGGCACCAAGGTATGTTTTGTGGGAGGTCAGGTCATGGACAAATTACTTCCCTGATGAGGTTTGAGTATTCTCCTCTGTAGAATGAGTGTGTGGGAATGGATGGTCTTTATGTTCCCTTCTATCTCTAATACTCTAAATTTTTGTGATTCTATGATGTGAACCTCAAAGTTTCAAGGCTTCCCTCCAAATTTTCCTTAATATTTTAGGGTTTATCTTCTCATCATTTTAAACCCTGTTTGAATCAGTATTTCTAGCATGGGGTTCATAGGATCATTGATTTAATAATGACCTAGCATTTTTATAGCATTTTAAGTTTTGAAAGGCACTTTATATATGTTATGTCACTTAATTCTCAAAGATGAGGAAACTGAGGCACAGAGAAGTTAAGACTTGCCCAGAGTCACCCAGCTAGCTAATGTCTGGGGCAGGATTGAAATTTAGCTCTTCCTGATTTCAAGTCCCAACACTTAGCACTGGACCGCTTGACTGGAGAGGACTTTGGAAACCCTGTAGCCCAGGGCCCTTCTTTTATTTTATTTTTCCTTGAAAATTTTAATGTATTTTTTCCAATTAAATGTAAAAACAATTTTTAACATTCATTTTTTAAAAAATTTTGAGTTCCAAATTCTTTCCCTCTCCTCTCCTTGAGAAAGCAAGCAATTTGATACAGATTGTGCATGTGTAGTTATGCAAAACATATTTCCACATTAGCGAAAGAAAACACAGACTAAAAAAAAATAAACAAGAAAAATAAAGTTAAAGAAAAGTATGTTTGAATTTGCATTCAGACTCCAACAGTTCTTTCTCTGGAGGTAGATAACATTTTTCAGCAAAATCCTTCAGAGTTGTCTTGGTATTCAGACTTATATTACTGAGAATAGTTAAGTCATTTACAGTTGATCATCATACAATATCGCTGTCACTGTGTACAGTGTTGTACTGATTCTGCTCATTTCACTTTACAACAGTTCATGTAAGTCTTCCCAGGTTTTTCTGAAACCATCCTGCTTATCATTTCTTACAGCACAATCATATGTCATAGCTTGTTCAGTCATTCCCCAATTGATGGGCATCCCCTCGATTTCCAATTCTTTGCTATTGCTAAAAAAACTGCTATAAATATTTTTGTGCAAATAGGTTCTTTCCCTTCTTCTTTTTTTAAAAATCTCTTTGGGATACAGACCTAGCAATGGTATTGCTCAGTCAAAGAGTATGCACAGTTTTATAGCTTTTTGGGCATAGTTCCAAATTGCTCTCCAGAATGGTTGGATCAGTTCACAACTCCACCAACAGTGCATTAGTGTCCAGGGCCCATATTTTACAGATGAGAATGAATTTTGTAAAGTTAAATTCCATGTGAAGTCACAGCTTTTTATTTGTCCTAAAACTTCCACCTTCCACCTCTGACATGGAATTGAGTGATCGGATCCAGAGTCTCTCTTCTTACCCAGTTTGTAAATTTATAGATTTCAACCATAAAACCCCCTGTCATGCTTTATGTTTTAAATATTAGGTTCATAGTGTTGAAGGGACCTTTGAGACCATTCAGTTAACTCCATTTTGCAGATGGAAGAGATTGAGGCACCAGATTGGAAAGCTGTTTTCCCAAAGGTCATGAAGGGAGAGTTAGTCACTGAGCTGACACTAGAATCTAGGGCTCCTAACTCCCACTCCTATTGATCTTTTCAGTCTGTTTGAACACCAGCTTTCTTTTAGGCAACTTCCCTTAGATGTAAGTAAATCCAACTCCTGGGTGTGGCATATGTGAGGTCATTAATGAGGTCATTAAGAGCTGTTAGGCTAAGGACTGATTCCCCAGCCCATATGTCTTGCTTTCATCATTGCTCCTTGTCTCCTAGCCATCAATTTAGAACTGTGTTAAGAAAAATAAAAAATATTCCTTCCAAAAAGAAATATTGGGAAAGTTAGGTAGAGGTCATTGGTCCAACACCTTCAATTTTTTAAAATTTAATTTAAAAATTTTTAATTTTTAAAAATTTTTTAAAAATTTAAAAATCCTGGCAAGGTTTATTTTTTCTTCCTCCTCCCTCCTTCCCATTGGGGGAAAAAACAGAAAAACAAAACCCTTGTTTCAAATGTTCATGGTTAAGCAAAATAAATTCCCACATTGGCCATGTCCAAAAATATATGTTTCCTTCTGCATATCTAGTTCATTGTCCCTGTTAGGAGGTGGGCAACATATTTCACCACGAGGCCTCTGGAATCAAGGTTGGTCATTGCATTAATCAGAATGCTTAAGTCTTTCAAGCTAACTCCTTCATTTTACAGAGGAGGAGCCTGAAATCTGGAGATTCCAGAGAACTCATTTGGTGTAGGTTACTTGGGTGGTAAATGGTAGTCCTGGAATTTCCATAACCTCTCCTCCCTAAGCCCTCTCCCCAACAGTGATTCCTGAACATTGTATAGCACTCCTCTCTCCTACCTAGAAAGAAGCTGGGGCTTCATTAGGGATTTTCTTGTGTTCCAGGTGAAACAGGAACAGCTCCCCTCCCCCAGCAGCCTGGGCATGCTGGACCGATCACGGTTGGCCCTGTGTGCCTTTGTCTTCCTCTGCCTTTCCTGCAACCCATTGGCCTCCCTTCTGGGCAAGAACAGTGGCCAGAGCCAGGCTGACACCGCTGCCATGTACCACATGCCTGGACGCAGTGTACTAGGCACAGAAGGCAAAGGTGAGGATTGCTGAGCATGCAAACAGACTCTGAGTGTGCAGGTCACTCAGGTGGGGGGATCAGGAGGGATCTGAAAGCTACCCTGGGCTGGCCTGAGAGGCTGTGATGGGTCTCAGTTGGTGTTTTGCAGGTGCCAGCAAAAGCTATGTCAGTTTTCAAAAGCTTAGACTTGTTTTTCAGGACAGCTGGGAGCAGGATAGATTTAATTCAATTCGACAAATATTCATTGAAGTCTTTTGTGCAGACACTGAAGGGTAGACAGTTTAAAAAAGGTACCGTTCTTACCCTTATGGAGCTTAAGGGCATGCCAAGTACAGTCATAAATACAATCTGTAAGTAAATAAAAGAGGTGCAGACTGTAAGAATGGCAGGTAGCATTTATGTGACTCTTTAAGGTTTACAAAGTGCTTTACATGTGTTACCTCATTTGATTCTCAGAATAACCTTCGGAGGTGCACGCCATTGTTATCCTAATTTTACAGATGAGGAAACAAGGTTGAAAGAGATTTTGTGACTTTCCCAGGGTCACACAGCTAGTAAATGTCTGGTGCATGATTAGAACCCAGGGTTCCTGATTCCAGGTGTAACATTACACTTACTGTCTCCCTCCAGTCACTTAGCTAAACAATGTCTAAGAGGACAAAGGCCTTATTGACTGAGTAGAGCAGGGCAGGCTTCAGGGAGGAGGTGCATTTTAGGGTCACAGACTTCGAACTGGACAGAACACACAGCCCAGTCTCTTGATTTTGCAGATGAGGAAGAGGAGGTCCTAGAGAGAGGGGTTAAGGATTTTGCCCAGGATCACACAGGTAGTAAATAGGAGAATTGAGACTTGAACCTAGGTTCTCAGGTTCTAAATCTGTCCATTGCAGCATCATTTGAGTTGTTGTAAAGGATGGGTAGGAATCCAGTAGGTTATGGGCAAGGTGCCATTCTAGGCCTAGGATGGTGAGAAAATGCAGAGAGAGAGAGAGAGAGAGAGAGAGAGAGAGAGAGAGAGAGAGAGA